TGCAGCCCTGTCCCGAGTCATGTGCCGGGACCGCATTCACGGAGTACCAGAAAGAATGTCAAACGCAGTTCGGGCGTGGTAAAGTGGGCTGTCGCTCGTGAACAAAGGTCAGAAGCCGTTGGGGAGTGACTGCGACCAGTCGGCCGCGGAGCTCGATTCTGAGACCAGGCGAGCGGATTCCCCTTCTTTTGTAGCGCAAGTGTTTGGTGCAGGCCACGAGAAATTACCGAAGTGGAGGTCTGAAACTTTGACTGCAGGAAGGCCGGAGCGGTGTTTGACGCAGACAGGGAACGAGGAATTCACTGTACGAAAAAGCTCGGGTGCAGAGCGAGCCAGTGAGGTTGTGGACCGCATTACCGTTTCCTCGAAGTCTGTACCGACGAATGCGCGTCGGGGTTGGGGTTAGGAGAACGCTTCTTTTACTCCAGCTGCCACTCCGTCTAACTGTACTTCGCCATCGTGAAAGAGCTCGTTCCAGTGGGCCAAACCTGCTTTTGCGTGCAGTCATCGTTATCTCGCAGTTGTTGGAAATAGGTGAACCGACGGGCACATGCTGAACCTTCCCTGCTGCATCCGCATCCGGATCGCCCCGACAACATGCTCTCTCTGTCCGAGCCCCCAACGACAGACCGGAGATATCCTCGCAAATTCGGTCGGGTTCGCAGTTGCGTTTGGAATTGGGCTTCGAGGAAAGTGAGAGCGATTGAATCTTTATTTGAGAGCACAGGACAATAAATCAGCTTTGCGTTTTGCATGAGCAATTCGGAGGCGGAAATCGTGAGCTCCAGTAAAGTTTTCTGCGCTGCTCACAACTGTCCAGTGTACGTATGAAACTACGGTTCTCCTGCGAGTTGACCTGTAGATATAAGCTTGAGACTCCCGGTTTCACTCCGCTTCGACAGTTGACATCGTAGTACTGATTCCAGGATGCTGGTGCCGCGCTGCAGCTTAGATTCTGAAGGCAGCTAGCGATCCCAGGAGTCACGGTCTGTCTGATGGTAAGAAGGCAGAGCATGATCCCCGTAAGGTGGAGGAGAACTGTGGGTTCGTACTAAGTTCACACTGCCACAGTCACAGCCATTGAAACTCAACCGGATCCACGGTGCAGATCCCAACTTCTGCGCACGCGCCATTGAGCCCAGGTACGAGGCAACCACTGGGAGACTCCATGCATCACACAGTGGGAACGACATGTATCCTAACATTGATAAACGGCTCGACTCACCACATTGAATTATCGTTTGATCATAAATTACGGGCACATAATTCCCCGGGTCAATCACCCTCACCTACTCCCAAAATTGGGCGACGTACCCGAGGACTCGGTTGTGCGCGCTACAGTCACTCTAGCCTTTACCGCGGTCAGCTAATCGTCGGTTCTTTTTATGCTCGTAATTCCACCTTCAGTAATTCTAGCTACTCTCGTAGTGCACAGGGTTCGAACGTTGCTGAGAACTCGAGATCTGACATTGCAAGAAATGGGATCTGATCCAGTGACGAATAAAGGATGCGGAAGTCGAGGAGTCAGCGACGTGAGGGAATCTTGCCCTCCTGCTCAGTCCCGCAGTACTTTCCCCTTCTAACTGTCGTCTGGAATCAAGTAATGTTGGTATCTCATGCAAGCGGACCTGGTAATCAGATCCGGTAATTGTTCTCGACGAAGCATTCCCAAATCCTCACATTCTCAAACGGATCTCAGTCTGGCGAAAGAGCACTGTTTTCAGAGCTAAAATGCAGGACTCCAATATTTTCTGTTCTGCTTTCACAGTACGTTTCCTCTCTTGCAAATTTTAAAGTTTTCGGCCGCTAACGAGCTTAGCATGCTAGTGCACTCCGCACGACTTGAGCCCAAGTAAAAAACTGCTTCATGGATCAATCAAAGTTCTTACACGAACTTTCCCCGCAGGAGAATATCGGGACCACTACCCCAGCTTCCCAGTAGTCAGGCGGATGCAAATGGCTAGAATACTAAAGCTTACGCTGACAGAAAAATTGTTGCATCGACTGTAACGTAACGGCCTCGTACGTTTTGAGCTGCTGCTCTATACTGACTCTTACTTTCATGTTCTGAACAATATACTTTTGAGGTCCTTCAGGACATGGTGTCCGTGGAGTATATGAGCTTCAACTTAAAATCATTGTTTCTTAGAATTGCTCACGAAAAGTCCCGTTAGCAAACTTGAAGTTGTTGACGACAAAATGGATGCAAAATGTCTTCCGACGTTCACAGTCACAGCCGCAGATCCCGTGCTTGTTGGTGCTGGAATTCGCATCATCTTCATCGGATCACTCTGTCTACATTTTATTAAAAATGATGCAATTTTTTTTAAGACGATATTTGCCAGAGCTGTGACTAACGTGTACAATCTGGGCCTGTAATATTTTAGCTTTACATCAGCCAGGACAAATTCTGATTGGGCTCATCACTGTTGGACCTACGGAGATCCTCAACACTACCATGTCGATAACCAATATACCACCAAGACAAAAGACAGACGTCGAAGACGAATCTCACTTCTTACTGGCATCAGATTGTGCTGCATAGTTTCTTAATCGTCAATTTCCACCTTCAGGCAGGCAACACCTCCCTCACATCGGCAAGAAGATGAAACCTTTGACCGCTCTTCTAAGCGCTCAATACACCATACACCGGAACCAAATTCTGTCTCTATAACTTCTCAAGCTCTGCTTCTAAGGTTTTCTGCTCACAGATTAGGTGATGAGGATATCAGCACGATGTACACACCAGTCCATTACAAAGTACATGAATCTCCCAACTGTTTTCAATTCTACGAAGCGATCCAGAGTCACTTTCGCGATCGCTTGAAGCTCAGGAGTGTAGACTACGTTGGCCTTAACTCGGCTAAACTCGACATGCAACAATCAATCGACATTGATCACGTCGGCAAGATGCGAGGGGAGGGACATCTCCTCAAGGCCGTCGTCCCTAAGACGAGGAACGAGGTCGGGCCCACGGCCACTGAGCGCAGACAAGTTTCTGCGGCCCCAACGGTCGATTCCCCTTCCCCGGCCCCCGCCCGACCCGACCCGACCCGGCCCGGTCCAGGGCGGATCGGCTCAGTTCAAATTTTTCCGCCTCGGCCCATGCGACGAACGTTCCCCGCCATGAAGGAGAGGGATGGGAGATTTGATTTAGGGCCGTCAGATGAGGCGATGGCAGATGTCGGTCGTGTTTGCAGCCAATCACGCAGCGCGGCTCGGAAGACCGAGGACGGCGGGGGCCCACCTTTCGCGACGCCGGAAGGTGCTCGGCGCTCGCATCATGTGCCTACGCAAGGGCTGGGCCGCAGGCCTCGTCCCTCCGCGCGTGGCTCGGCACCGTGCTAACCGAAGGCGGTCGTTCCGTTAACCCGACGCCAGAGGGCCAGATCCGCTTTTGCTGAGGTCTATTTAGCGGGGCCGCTGAGCCCCCACCCCCCTCCGCAACTGTATCGTCTTCCCGTTCGCCTCCTCGCCTCGCGACGTGTTCGGTCCCGCCCCGAAACAGGCGACGCTGCTGCTAAGTTTGGGCACTCCGCTGGCCATGACTAGTGGAGCTCTGGCGCGGCTGTGCCACGTACAGCCCTCCCTATCTCATGGAGCTCTCTGCAGCCGAGGGATACCTCCGATAGTTTTGGAACGATGGGCATGACAGTTGCGGAACCATGTCCAGGGAAAAGACGTCCGAGGAAGTAACCTGCACATAACATCACACACATTTCTCGAGTTTCAAATGTATTCATGTGATCGAGGTCCATGTCGAATTATCTTCATAAGAGGTTGGGACTGGCACTGTCTCCCAAGAAAGGATTTTCTGATTTATTTTTCACGTGGAAATAGAGCGGAGAGCCGCATAAAATCTTCATTGTTTGGGATTCGATGCTCAGTACTTGAGATATCATGGGTTTGCAGTTCGATCGAGTCTGGGAAAGCGTTGAAGACAATGCTAGACATGTGACCTCCTTATGATGAGAAGACATGGAGCACAAGCACTCTCTCTTTTCTTTTTCGATGTCCTCGATATTGACGTTCGGACAGACCCTTCCTCTCGGCGCCTTGCCATAGACGAAGCGTTCGTCATTCCCAAGAGTCGCAAACGTCCAAACGACTACATCATCTGGCAGTGATTCTCTTCTCAACGAATCCCTGCTCAATTAGGACCCTTTTACCAGAGTCGAATGCACACCTCTGGCCGGGTGTACTTCTTTGTGTAATATTTCGTACCAATCTGAACTCAACAATCAAGTAAATATTGTACACGCTATGTCTCTGAATGCACATGTATATAATTCGGAAGAGACCTTCTGCTTATGGTAGAGAACTTTGTTGACCCAGGATGGACGTCGTTGACCGAGCACGGAAGAAAAAAACCTCAAACAGGACAAAGCACTCCGGACGATGAATACGGTTCTCGATGTACGGTACCCACATTCTCCCTGAAAGAGTCGCAAGGAAAGCCGAGGGGTATAGTACAGTACAACATCTCTGGAGCGATAATACGGTGGGGACTTGGACAAAGCCACCTCCGCTTCCAGAGACCAGGCCGACGCCAAATTGGCGTCCGAGAAGATGCGGATCCTGCGGTTTTCTAGCGGAAGGACGGGAAAAGAGCCGTTGTTCTTAACGGACGCCCTCGGGGTGGGGGGCGGCGGCGGCGGCCCCTGTGAGAGACCGACGGAAGGACCTGATGCGAATCCCTGCGTCCTTACCTCCCTCGTCCTCGTCCCTTACGGCCCGCGTCGCTGCCACTGATGGTGCTTCGGTTGCAGCGCGTCGCACTGTGAACGTCGTCCGCCTCCTTCGTTGGCTCGCTCGCTCGCAACAGCAAACAAGCACGATCGCCCCTCGCCCGCCCCGCTGGCTGGCTGGCTGCCTGTACGGGCCTCCGGTCCACCTCAGCACGGGTTGCCAAGGGCTTTGAATCGCAGGGGGGGGGGGGGGGAGCTTGGACCGGGCTCTTGATTGATAGTGCCCGTTGCTCATGATCAGCTGCGGCAGCAGAAGGCTCGCGCTTTGACTTTTCCAGGCAATATTTTCCCCGGAATTAGATTGTCGAGCGAGGCGAATTTGCTGGTGTCGGAAATTCGGACGTCGCGATTCCATCCAATCCTTGCACTCGCGACGTCTACAGCTCTAGCAGTCGCACTCGCGCACAGTGGCTGCGCATCTGGCTCCTGCTCCTGCTCGCAGCGCTGTCTGTCTTCTTTCTTCGTGCCTGCGCTTGGACACAGGGAAATCGGAGGTGCTCGCGCGAGGGTCCTGCTTTTGAATATTCGGCCATGTGATATCTCGGCCCCCGTGGGTTTACCTCTGGTGGATGGATGATGGTGCGCGAGTGAGAGAAGCGACATCCTGAGATAGTGGCAGTGGTGGATCAGGAGCAGCTCTGTAGCTACTGTACGTAGGAGAGATCATGCAGAGCACATCATTTTGTTTGTGCGCTCTGTGCCCGGGGATGTCGACGAGGTGCGACGCATAACATGACGCGGGCAGTGGATTTCTTTCTCTGAGAGCGAGCGAGGGAGGCGAGAGATAGAGAGAGCGAGCGAGTTGTGGGCGGGGTGTATTGACCCTGCGATCACCGGCAGTGGTACCTTGGGACGAGCAGAGGTGCCTCACTCGCCCTCGGAACAGTTGTGTTCTGCCAAGAGGGAGGGGAGCTGCTGGTGATTTAGTAGTCGTTGTTGTTGATCATCACAAAAGTGCAGAGAAGCAGAGAATGGTTCTTCTTTTGCACTAAGAAATGCGGCTTTTATATGTCACAGGTGAGAGGGAAAGGTTGACGACAGCCTCTCCACTCCTCTCGCCTTCACGCGCACTCGCCAGCCGTATCTGGCCTCGTCCGATTCCCGGACAGGTCATTTGGTTTCACGGAGGGAAATGTTGCTCTGCCGAGCTGCTCCTCCTTCCATCTTTGTGAGCTTGCACGAGAGGCCAGCGATGGGATCTAGACGCCAATTCTCGAACATGAAGTTGGCCTAGGGACACATTTTGTTTGCGAGCAATGGGGTGGACGTGGACCTGCTTTGGGGGAAGGAAGGAGCGTTTACGTCGTCTCGACTCTGATGGCCGTGTGCGTCACAGAAACAGAGTAAGGCTCTCTCCTTCTTGTCCTTCGCCTCCCCGCCTCTCCCCCACCTCAATTTCATCGAGAGTGGACTTCGATCAACATCAATGCTGTCAATTACGAGGCAAACGTTCGATGAGAGTGCTTTCATCAGAGGGGACACATGGACGACTCTCAGAGTCGAAGCGGAAGGTTCACAGTGCGTGCCTCCGTAAGGCAAGATCGGAAACCTCGCCAGATCACTTAGTCGACCTTTCGTAGTCACACCAATTTCGGAAGCACGTACGGAACATATTCTTGCGTTCTCGCTGGAGCAGATGGGATCATATCAAATGTCACAGGGAAAATGCATGGCGCTGGATACTTCGGATAGAGTCGGTAACAGTTCTTAAAGTAGGCAAAGCAGAGAGCGGTCGACGGTGGTGCTGCAAGTGATACAGTCGCGAAAGTTGGATTGCTACAGTAGATTAGCAGAATCTCTCAAAGATATGAGATGCGATGGAATGGGCCGAGTAGAGTATCACTTCACGTACACGAACTCGAACTCTTTCCCGCCGTCTTCGCTATTGCTGCATGAAAGTATTTGATATCTTCGTGTCTTTTCTGATTCCTTGTTGTTTCTTTCCCCAGCTCTGTGTATTGGTGCGTCAGGAGAGACTCGACACCGACACCCATACAATAACTCCTCCCAACCCCCACAGCCTTGGTGCCCAGATTAGGCCGAAGTCGCCTGCCAGAGATTGTAAGTCTTCCAATCAACCTTCGCAATGCGTGTCAAATCTCAATCAATATGCAATTGATCAAGTCTAATATCTTTCAGCCCAGCTGCAGACATGTCATTCTCCCCTCCCTTGTTGCTAGAGGTTCATCCGCTGTGCCGATCCGTCTGATGAGCATTCCTGGTGTGTGGCAATCGTGCAGCTTCTGTGTACGATGAACCGTTCCAGCCCAAGCAAGTTGTTTGTGGCTCACTACAGGGTAGCAAATTATTTAGGCGTAAACCAGTGAGAAGGGCCAACTCTTTCGGAAGTAGCTCTTTCGAAAATGGAGCAAAAAAGAGTTGTGACAAGAAGGGCGCAGCCAAAACTTCTGGAGAAACCCAACCCGAGGTTCTGGTCGATCGGCTTCAGGAAGAGGTCGAAGCTCTCAGGAAGAGACTTGCGGAGGAGGAAGCGGAAGCACGGAAGCTTAGAAACGAGGTAAGAATATCTCTATAACTTGGGCTGTTACCCTTCTGTCATTCGTGTCGTATGCGATCTCATGAATCGGAAGGTGGACAAATAGCTCATCCGAGCCTTCTCAAGTACACGGTCTCACAGAGTCATTTGTTTACGTGCGCACATACGATGTATTGATTTGATGGAGTTTTCTTTTACCAGCCCTTATTAAATTTAACCTAATGAATGAAATGGGGCTAACTACTCTTGCACCACTAAATATCTCGACTTCTCAACATCTTGCAGCTCCATCCCGATCAAATTGTTCTTCACTTCTACTGATCTGTTATGCTTTCGCAAAGCTGACCGTTCATATTTTCAGGTTTGTTATCTACGATCGTGTGGCGTCCTTCAGTCTCCGGAAAGAACAAGTTGTAGTAGTATTGAAAAGGATAGCCCAAGTCCAGGATCATTCAAGGATGATAGAGCTCAACGGCATTGGCAATCATGGCTTGGACTTACTCTTTCACCTGCAAGTCGACTCAAGCTTGAGGATCAACTCAGGTAAGCCACATGTTCCACTGAAATAGACCTCATTTCACATCGTTTTCTTCTTATTCTCCTCCAAATCGGCCCATCTCAGTTGAAATTTTGAAACTCTGCTATTGATTTTAAACACTCGAGTGTCTAAATACGAGTGAGACCCCTTTCTCACGGAAATTATAATAGAAGTGAAAAGCTAGAAGGAACACTTTGAACGATATATCTGATACCTTCTGTCCTGGATCATGTTTTCATGGAACCATAACATCACACTTCTTTTCGTCATCGTCTGTAGGCTGATGGCTGCAGAAGAGATGTCCAAGAACCCTGGCAAGGGCCTCACCAACGGTCAAAAAGCCCTGATTGTAGCAAGCAGGCTATGGCAGTACCAAGATGATCCTCTGCATGCGAGTCAGGTGAAGTTCGAGCATAGGGACTCGTACTCCTCAGATACCTCGTCATGTTTTGGCAACAATTTGAGCCAAAATCAGTCTCTCGACGATTTGTTGCCAGAGAAAGATGTTCTCCCAGAAGGAAGTAGGTCAAGACAACTATCTAAAGAAGCTCCATTACCTGAGTGTGAAGAGGAGTCTACACTCCATGTTGCAAGCTTTAGAGATTCTCTTGATCTCAAGTTTCCTCCAGGTTCAAGCATAATTCAGGAAATTAAATCCAAAAATCCCCCATCCACTTCGTATGAATCAGAAAATTTTTCTTTCCACCCGTCTTCAGAAAAACCGGTTATCAAAGATGTGACAGTCATCCAAAGGGCGACATCCTTTCCGAGCGCATCGTCGTTGTCTGCATACAAGGAGCAGCAGCCCGATGCAGAGTTTGAAAAGTGCCCGCCAGAAGAACAGGTGAAGTTCGAGTCACCGAAGAGATCTTGCTCTCTTCCCAACACTGGTGTAGCGGTTCCGACTTCAGATGAGGCGAGGCGTTTCATAGATCTGCGCTACCAGGAGCTGGAGGAAAAGCTCTCAAGGAGCCCGAAGAGGCTGAGTCTCTCTTCACCGACCGCCACACCTGACCGATCCCCTCCACATCCACTGGGTAACACCTTAGATTTAGAAGATTTGGACTCTCTGCCGGATGCACTGCATGCATCGTCTCCTGACGCAAAACGTTTCCCGCTTAATAAAACTTTAACTGATTCTAGTGATTCGAACTCCGATGAGGATAGTCCTGCAAGCCCTTCTACCCCTGTCATGAGCAAACCCTTCTATTCTGCAAGATCTGGTAGAGTGTGGCAGCCCTTATCACCTGTGAAAGAGGTTGACAGTGGACTGTCGAGTGTACCATCCTCTGACAAGGATGCGAGCAGTGTCTTTTCCTCTCAGAAAGGACCTTCTGATAGTGCTGAAGACCTTGGCATGGATTCATGGACCAGCGAATCCAAGTCTTCTCTGAGAAGTCCTTTGACCGGAAGTGAGCAGGATGGACACGATGATGCAAGCTCTAGCCCTGGAAGTAATAGCGAAGCCGGTGATGTACACGACGACGATCTTTTCACACTATCACCTCGCAGGCTGCATCGCAACTATGATCCGTGGGAGGATGCCCGCAACTTTCAGGCTGACAACAACGAACATGCGAAGACAGATAGCAGCACCGAAAGTGCTACAAGTACAGACTGGACTACTTCCGAGGATTCAGATTTTAACATGCTACCCATTCAATGTCAGTCACCAGATCTGTCACCGAAGCCTTTGAGAAGCAAATTCGCAAAGGAGAGTGAGGTGAAGATGGAGTATCCAAGAGACAAGTATTTCAAGGAGATGGGCTTGAAGGTGGACGAGATGCTCGTTTCTTCGGATTCTACACTATCTACGGAAACTCTTGGCGGACAGAAGGAAAACAAAATGCTGTCTGAAAGTTTCCCTGCTCCTGGTGTCGACCACCCACTCCATGAAAATTCATCACCACCAAAGGTTTCGTCTACCAATGACCTCACAATCTCTCAAGATTGTGCTCATCCGATCTTGGTATCGATCGAAAATCTTCCCAAGTGGATCGAATATCAAGGAGTCTACGTGGGTCCACCTGTTAACAAGGAAGCCACGCAGGTAGCTGCCCAGGCTCTGAAGAAAAAAGAGGATGTGATTCAGGCGCAGCGGGACACCGTGCATGGAAACAAGGATGCACGTGAACGAGCAACCTCTGTTCGCACATTCCCAGAAATGCAACGGAATGACATCGTGTATGCAAGAGCTCAGCAGGATAATGAGCCCGAACTTGACACTCATCAAGTTCAGGTGGAGAAGGGCAAACCCTTCTATTTTGAAATCTCTCAGGAAAAAGAACTAATCGTCCACGACACTGATGACAGTCCTCTTGGTCACCAGGTGGTGAACCACCACAGGTACTCACCTGCGACTGAGGGTCAGGTAGACGAGGAGGTAGGAGGAAGGTCGTACGCGAATGGCGCCATGGACGCCATCCTAATGCATACGAGACAGAATGAGGTCGAATGTCTCTCACCAGATTCAGCGGGGATGGATTTGGGAAAGCCCCAAGTAGATGCGCATTCCTCCACGAAGCAGGCGCGGGAGATGGAGAGTAGCTCATTCACGGGCTCACTAGAAGACGATGAACGATATTCCAAGACGCAGGCTGGCGAATTTGGAGCTATGCATGTACGAGAAGTCGCACAGAAATTCGACTTCAGGCAGACATCAGCTGTCAGTCAAGATGGGCTGATTGCAAATGGCCTGAAGACCCAGCATGTGGAAGGAAGCGAAGAAAGCCACCATGGTAGAGATATGGCGAAGCTGACGGCCGGGCACTTCGTCTCTGACGGCAGTGGTGAGGAAGCCGAAAGCCTTAGAGAGTCCTGTTCTAGCAATCAGCTACTAGTCCAATATCCCTGTGTCAGTAACGATTCTGGAGTTGTCAGTTCGTCCAGCAGAGCTACCGACCAGACGGGCTACAGCTGTGACTCGTCCACGATTTCATCACCGACTCTTCTCCAGAGACGCCGTCAGTCGAGCTTCAGCACTCTCGTTGAGGCCTCTGACCAGGCGGTTGAAGACGAAGCAAACAACTCTGACTCCGGTGGATCTGAAAAAGACCTTTACCCTGTCTATCCAGCTAGAGGGATGTTAACTATTAGTCCCGATGATAGACCGATTTTAGGGACAGTGGCAACTTGGTGGGGGGACGAAAGCCTCTCCAAATCTCGTCGATGGTGGGATGGTCAAGGAATCCCGAATTCCACAAGCAAATACAAGGAGGTAAAGTTTCAGCCCTCAGATTCTCAGATTTGCGATCCCCAAAGTTCCTCCAAATGAAGAGCCCTGCTCGGCTGCCCTTCCCTGTATGAACTAAAGAACTAATACGCTGAACGTAACCTTATGTATGAGTTTACTTAGTCTAGACTCCCAGCTCGGTACACCTCTCACTGGGTCGTCCTACCACTGCGAAATGCTGTCACTATATTCCGTGACTTGTTCTCAGTGCCCGGTTTGTTAGACCGGCATTTATCTATTATGACACAAAAAGAAAGTTTTTCACCGTTTGCACCGTCCTGGTCCTCGTCTGAAGGGTATGTGATGATTGTAGCACGACGAGTAGTGAGATGATTCTGATGAATGTGCAAGGTGAAAGGGTGAATGTTAATCTGAATGAATGGATTTGGTGTTTGTACGTGTTTCTACCGAGGCGAGACCTTTCCCGGATGAATGAAAGCTCGAGGCCAGAGAGATCTCGGGAGGTGCACAACTCTGAACAAACACCGTTATGTGCTGACAAATGTGGAGATTTTGCACTGGTTCTCCAGGATCAAAGGGTCAATTGGCATACAACACCGTTTGAAACACGCCTAGAACAGGCATTGGCGACACAGACGACGGTGCCTACGGAACCCTGCGATCAAAGGTTTGCCCGATCAACCCCATCCATCCGTGTAGCCAGATATGTGCCTGAAACTCTGAATTGTCCAGAGCACGTCAAGTTACCCTAGGGATCGTGTCTAGATGTCATTGTTCTGAGTTTGCCAGAAGCTGAGAGTGTCCGTAACGCACTTTTTGCAGAGATCTTTTCGATGAAGGAGTTGTCCCTGTTATAGAATCAGCTGACATGGACGTCCTGAAACCAGCTGCACCACGATCAGAAGCCATTCTGATCTGAGCGGTGAAGAAATCGTGTCACGTACTTCAGTGAAACCAACCCTTTGTAACCCTCGAGTATCCTCCGCAGCATTCATAAATTCCCTGAAAAATCAACTCCCTCTGTGACCCCACCGTCCGCTTTGAGAAAATCTGTAGGGGAGCACCTGTAAACATCCCTCCCCAAACTCTTTGCATACTTGGTCCCTAAACCTCATCCCTAAAACGCCTATCCTGTATGTATATCAAGTACACTTGAACCTAGTTTGTACATGAATTCTTGTTCGAGTGTAGTAATGTGTCCTGGAACGATGCTTGCCACATCTTGCTGCTCGACCCCACCCTCCACCACTTTTGCCCCTTTACATTTTTGGGAGCTCAGCTAAAGCTTTGCCCCCAAGAAAATTTGAAGCACATCCTAACATTTAGGCCCTTGGAAAAAGCAGTAGTACTTGTTGCCATGACAACCATGCAGAATGATGCGAGGACTCCAGTGTAACCTTTTGTTGAACCGGTGACTTGAGACAAGGAGGTACTTTGGCACACCTCTCGTGCCTGTAATACAACTTCTATTCAACATTTTTGGTGGCACAGATTCAGACTACACATTGCAATGTTGTCTGTCTGGGCCGCACAAGTTAAAAATTTCCTAGCTGAACACATGCGCAATGTAACTTGAGAACATCTCAACTACGACAATAACAACTACGGTGGCAGTTGACAAGATTGTGCTCAGATGTCGTCCTCCACTTGATTGTGGGGGCTACTTGTGATATGCCTTTGAGATTCGAGATGAGGGTTTTTTCCTTCACTACTCCCTGTAAACCGAGACTCATTTTTACATCACTCAAAAAGCAGGTGAGAGAGATGAGCATTCGAGAAGGCTCGAGCGTGACGCATTTCTGCATCATCGACACCGTCTTTGCATTCGTGTTTTTAAGCTGACAATTGCTGACAATGCTTGCCGAGCAATGAGTGATGAAGATCGATAGAAACGAGTAACAAGAAATAGCCCATCTGGAGTCTACCCTGGTTAAACATCCATCTTTCCAAGCACTCGTGAGCTCGCACATTATTTTCCTTCAAAATCACCGGATTGTTGTCCCCATGTAAGAATGTGCTGGTACTCAGTCTCCCGACAATGCGTGCACATTCCCTCCATGTAAGAAGAAATCAAAATATATATGGACTCAGTTTGCAACTTACGCTCTACTCTCGTCGTCAATCTCACTCATTGCATTGCAATTTCAGGATCTACTTTATTATACATCTAGATGTCCACTAAATCCAACCGAGATTAAATTAAATTTTTCCTATACTACATGAGACTTCCGTTGTGCTGATGGTTTGCATGGCACCTTTCGCAATACAAAATATCACCAGTCCCATAGTAGAGTGTGATGCGTTTCCAGCGGATATTGTCGTGGACAGTCCACAGACAAATCCTCCAAAGTCCGAAAATTTGAAGATTTAAAGTCCTCTTACGATGTACAAGATGAACCCGCAGGACTTTTGCAAATCTTTAAATAGAACATCATTGATATTTCTAGGGAAAACTGGCAGATCCTTTCAGCCGAATAACTTCATGACTTCGGCATGGCATTCTGTATGACCTGCGAGGTCTTTTTGATTCTGCCTTATTCCTCCACTCCTTTTCACGATGTCAAGTCGCCATGGTGTGAAATGGAAACCATGGAAAGCACAGTATTAGCAATATGGAAAGACTTAACGGGAGGAAATCGATCGGCCTATGGCTCAGATTCTTTGAGCGTCGTCCGACTATCGCGGATGTGACGGGTTTGCGCTCTGTGGGGACCTCTCACGACACCATCAACGACGACAGGATGTGGCCCCTCGCTCTTTCCATTTGGGTGCTTTGATTGCCTCTCCTTCACTAAATCTTTGTAGGTAGAAGTCCTCTCTATCTCCCCAAGACGCCATTTTCCTTCAGTGTACTGCACCACGCAGACTGTAATTGCCATAATTCGTCAAGAATTTGATTTTCTGTTTTCTTAATCTTCTGCAAACCTCGAGTTAGATTAAGATTCAGAAGTGTGCATATCGAGTTGAAATTATTAAGAAGACTCAGAAAAGTTGCGACAATATTGGAGCTCTGGTTACCATATTGTTAATTAGAGATTCTTGTTTGGAAAGATTATTTTGGCATGTATAACACATCTTCTCAATCCATAGTCTAATTCACTGACAATCATATTTTTTATGTGATTAAGCAAGCAAGCAAACTCAATTGTAATATATAAATTAATAATATTTTACATTGGAAATTGAGCATTTTATGATCTAGCCTCTTGATTTTGAATTCATAGGAAGCCAAATCTTGTCATAATTCTTTTTACTACAAAAAAATAATTCAACTTAGATACAAAATTATGATACCCTTGTGTTTATGTATGATAATCTATGTATCGTCAAATCTGTATGTTTATATGATATATATGACAATGTTAAATCAATTGATGAAAACAATTATATCTATCAATCAATGAAAAGAAAATTGCCTGTGTTTCAAATAAAAAATTGATGTGTACTTGGTGTATGTATGCTTTGTATTTTGAAATCAAAGTACTACTAAATTATGCATGGTAATGTGTAACATAATTAAAATAATCTTCAATTTTTATCTGAAAAGTACAGATAAATTGTTAAAAGATAACTTAGATTTTCTAATAGCTCAAATTAGTTTGAACCATATAGTGAATACTGTTAAAATTTCATTATATATAATCGAATTCAGGAATGTTCTCGATGGAACTTTTTTGATTTTTGAGCAAAGATTGAGTTGTTCCTCCTATATCGCAATGATGAACATGTATGTCTCGTGTCTGGAGAGTCTGCATTCTTCTGTAAACGGTATACGAATGCATTTGACTTATAAGTTTGATTTTCTTCGCGATGAAAAACCTGACACTAATTTATGGAGACTTACACATTTTAAACACATCATAGCGCCATGAAGATAATATTCGTTCTTCGCATTTTTAATTTTCGTTCATATCAAAGTGAATTGGTGAGTGTAGAAATATACTGGCATTCGATTATACATGATAAACCAAAATTTAAAAACTGAACTTGGTTATCTTAGATATGCAATTATTGTTATATATCGACAAATCATGAAAACTCATTAATCAATATGTTATCCAATATATGAATTTTGGGTTTTCTGCAGTAAGAAGTAGTCAATAATTATGAAAATATTTAAAATATCCAAAAGTGTTATGTAAGAAAATCAGTTGTATATTTTGACATTGTTGCTCTGAGACAAATAATTAAGAAGCTACAATAGACAATAACTACCCCAAAAGGATGAGAAGACAAAAGACGATGATAATCCTTTGCGTGTGAGCTTGTTAGTTGGTGGACACCAATTCTAAGAGCTGAAGCGAGAGACTTAATGGAACAGGCTCGGCAAATGAGACTTCCGTTTTAGTGAAAAAAACCATGTAAGAATTGTAAACCTTGAACATAAGCTAGATAAACGGAAAGAATTGACAGCGAGATTAGAGAGCGATAGCCTATAGAGAAACTCATGTCTGTGTACTCCGAATGATTTTCCATTTAATCGTAATCTCTCCAAACTCGTCAACTCCCGCATTTTGTCTGGGCTCCATGTCGATACATCACAATTGTCAGTATCCTGGCAACATCTTGTTACAGGAATCCTTTGGTTTTAATCAGCTGCATGAGTTCTCTTTGTTTATCAGTCATGCAATTGAAACATATATTCATTCGGTTCATCGCGTTGAATTGGATGGGCTCTCCTATTCTTACTGATAAATAGCATAAACCCCGAATTATTATTACCCTTCTAATGGTAAATTGTGGAATATTGATATCATGTAACTAGAACTATTATGAAATGTAACGATGCTCCTGACATTGACAACCTTTTTAAGACAAGTACCGTTAGCCAGATATTATTGTTGCATGATGTAATTTTTTTGAAGTATACCTCAATTAGCCTTGGTTGATGAACCAATAAAAGAGTAGAGGACTCCACATTTGTAAATTACTTCACCTTTTATTACACACTTGAAAAGTATCAAAAGATGGCACTAAAGACAACGCTTTCCTAGTTTCCGGTGTAAAACTAGGTATTCCACCAGGAACCGTCCGAACAAACAGTCAAAAAACCTCCATTGCAGAAAAGGGAAAGGGTAAGCAAGTGACAACATTTCATGATGAGTACCTTCATAAGCTTGCAGTGTGAAAATGGACTCCTCTAAAACAGCTTTCGTGTTAACTCGTGAAACCCCGAAACGTAAAGATTATTGTCAGCAGACACATCAACACTTCCAGTCAGATCATAAACAGGTCTCGCATGCTATGTCCGGAATTAGAAACCACTGATGCTTTGATGGCCTTCTATGTCCGCTGTGCACATGTAGGGAAAAGGTAAGAAATCTGCCCAAAAATATTGATTCAGATATTTTGAGTCTTGCCAGCACAGATTGACTGCAATCAGATCACCAGACGAACGTAACCTACAGAAGCTCCGAGGCAAGAATTCGAATCCACGAATTCGCACCTTGTGGGATAAAAAAGTCACTATCAATCACAATCCAGATTCAAATTGTTATTGAAAGAGCATTTGAATCTTAGACCGTAAATGCAACGACAACATAATAGCTTAGTTAGAGCAACTATATACAAAGGAATAGCTCACAGACGTGGTGTTCCACTTGTACGACCCGAGAACCCACCTTCACATTCAACAGACGAATAGAACTGGTGGGCTCATGCATATATACCCAGGTGTAAAAGATCCGACCGACAAGGCGAATGCATAACCATAAGCTTATCTGAAGTACATCCCCGAAAGAACCATCTTCGAACACAACGGTTTTTAGTCCGTCTTCTCGTTAAACTCAAACATATCCTGACATGAGTCCACCACTGTCTGCATACTGTGTGGTGTATAGTCCCATCTCATAGATGATGACTTCATTCGGAAGCTTCTACTCCAGACAAGAAAATTTCACACCGATTATGAACACAAATGGAGATGTCAATGGACTCTCCGTGCATTTGATTGTAGAGTGGACCAGTATTAACAATAATGGTGGTCCCAGGTATATCTATACAGCTTTATCACGTACAAATAAACACGTTGGTCCTTGGATAACCTGTTTCATGATAAGAGCTTGTGAAACTTCAGCAACCCGTTGGCATGTCACCCGTAACTCCTGAGGACTCATGTATGTCATGAATGAAAGTCGTATTCTATGACAACAGTAGAAATGAAGTGACGGCCCTTGTACAATAGTAAGGGTAAATTGGTGACGTGAAGGACGTATCAATTTTGTCTGTCTCTTTCCAGAACTAGACAGCACGTATGTACAGATTTTCAAAGTCTCCATGGAGGTGGAACGTGAACATCGAGAAGGCAGGACGCAGATGGAGAAGGCATGTGACATGCCAAAGCCTCAACACAAACGGCAGGTCGCCTTTAAAATACGAACAGTGGAAGTATCGCCCTCGGAATTCCGGTGTGGATATCAGCTTCAATTGTTGTCAAAAAGACTTCCATACGAAGAGACGAGTTGACGCCTGGTATTGGTCGATAAAGGCCTCTGTATGCAGGAAGCAAACCCTATGATAATCCTGGGTGCGAAGTATTAGTTTGATGAAAGAACTTCAGAGCACGAAGATCCTCCCCTTTCCATCAAATCGGCTACCCTTTCCAAATCGGATTCACGATGCGCTTGACGAAGCTTGCTGCACCAAGATTCGAAGGCTTCACTCAAATCGGGAAACGCCTTACGACACTTGAGACACGCTCCAATCCAAATTCTAAAAATCAATTCCTGATCAACCATCGGAAGGGTTTCGACAACCGCCCCGAGTCCGTCCTCCAAACTCCTCTGAATCTCATCATGTCCGAAATTCTCGTCATCATTTCCCAACTTGGCTACCACGGGTAACCAGGTGGTCAACAAAGTCAGGCGGACAGATCTCGGAGACAAAACCTCTCCCTTCTGCAGGGCTTGAAGCATGCGCACAAGAATGAAGAACAAGGTCTCCGTAAAAGGATTCTGGTAAATTCTTGTGACCATCAACTGTGCAAGCTCCTTTTCTTCCGAAAACATTCTTACCGCTTCGTCGGCAATTTGAAGGGTGAACAATTCGTCTAAGAGCCACCGCAGTGCAGAGCAGGCGACACTCACCTGGTGTCCGTTCCAAGAAAAGAAGTTGGCAAATTTGCGAAGCTGTACCTTGAGAATTTCCAGATTCCCTTGCAGCTCTTTAAACAAGGCCACTTCGTTCACGGTGGCAAACGCGGTGGAAGTGGCGGGCTGCACGTTGCCAAGGAGAACTTTCTCCGTGATCTCGCGCGCTTTGGAAGTGGCACCATTAGTGACGAGAGTAAGAAGCTCCCCAAGCACACCTTGCATAATATCGACAGGCTTGACATCAGGCACACTCTCAGGCGAACACAGACGTGCTTGCAAATCCTCCGAGGGCAGCAAGTGCAAATTGGAGACACACGCTCTGATCGAGCTTTCTTGTCCAGGAGTCCAAGGCACCGATTCCAAATACCGCATGCAAGCGGCCACGCAATCATGGAACAAAAGTTCTGCGGCAACTTCCAAAATATTCAGAGCATCTTGAACATCGACAAAGCACGTATGCTTCACACGATCCGGCACATAGAGCAATTGGATGCACCTCACATACGTCTGCGGGTCCTTGCACTTATCCAGCGTCAATTCCACAACCCCAGCGCCGGGTCCAGATTTACCGCTGTTGCTGCTGCCGCTGCATCCAGCCTCAGCAGCGCTGCTCCAGCGCTCGGACAGCCGTGCGTCAAAAAATTCAGACCTGCGCAGCGCCTTGGAGTGCACGAACAGGGTCGAGACGACCTCGGGCGCGCCCTCGCCATCCTCCCCTCCGCCCACCCCTTTCAAATTCAGCACCACATCGGAGGTCTGGTCGTCTCCGAATCGGGGCCCGCACCCCATTCCCATCACCATCGCCACCTTCAAATCCCTACTCTCATCGAAATTCATCTTATTGAAGCCGCGCGCCGCGCATCGGTGCTCGTCGTCGTCGCTGCTCCGGCTGGAGCCCGAGCTCCTCGAGCACCACGGAGCTGCGAGCGCCAGCCTCCGGGCGCGCCTCCGCTCCCTATAGCCGTGGTAGTGGGGGCCCCGCATTTTCCTTACATTTTCTTTCCTAGTCCTCCCTGGCCGGTCGCCATTCTTTTATACCGGCACGCGCCTGTTCGACTCCGCGCTCCCATTGGGCCCGTCTTCCCGCCGCTTGCCACGCGCCCGTTCGCCGCGACTTGCATTCCCTGCGCTTCCCGGTTTTTGGTCCCCCAATTCTTTCTGCCGTCCCTCCTTTTCCCCTCCTCGTCCGCCTCCCGGAGTCCTTGTCAACCCCGCCTCCCTTTCCCGAAATCCCAGGCCCACGTGCTCACCTCAGATTCCTCTCCTCGGGCCGCGTGCGCCAATTTCCTCCTCGGCCTCGTCGCGAGCGCGATCGTTGCAGTTCCATTTGTTTGCCCCGGCTCCGAGTCAATTCTGCTCATCACGCCCGCGGTCGGACGCTTCCCCCCATCGCCATTCGCCATTCGCCATTCGCCGCTCGCGTCGATGATTGATGGATCGTCGTCTCGCGGCCGACCGCAACAGAGAACCCCGAATCCCGAATCACCAACACTTCCAACTGGATTCGCCCTTGGGAGGATGTCTGGCCGCTCGGCTTTTCTCCAGTTCTCGCCAGCTCCTGTCTGCCAGCGGAGAGCAGCGCGGACGCCGTCGAGCAGCAATAACATGGGAGCGACCCGTTTCGGCAGTCGCGACGAGCGTTTTGCATCGTGACCATCGATGCGACCGCGGACGCTTTTGGCTGCGCGGCGAAGAGTCGTCACCCGGCAGCTGGAAAAGCCCTCCTGCACCGGCGCACCGTGGCGCAGACGCTTCTCGGCCGTCATCCACGCCCGCTGTGCTCTAACGGGACACCCACTCGGTTCCTGTCCGAGCCAAGTGTCAGCCTCTCGCCTCCCGCTGTGCGCTTTCGGGCCCGGCGGTGGCCACACCCTCCGTGCCCCTCCATCCCGCGCTCCTCTGTCCGCCCTCGGGCACAACCGAACCCGGCCGCGCGAGGTGGCCTCTGCGGACACATCGCCGATCCCGAGGTGTGCATGTGAACGGACAACGCAGTGAACGACGACGACGACGTCCTCGTCGAGGTCCCTCCCTGCCTCCCTGCCTGCCCACCAGTGGCCCTACTGCAGTTTGTATTTGCCTGCACTGCCCAGACGCATGCTCTCCGGTAGGTTACGTTGCGGCACTTCTCGAGGCGCACAGGTCACTTGCGTCATCGTTTTTACGTCAGGATACGATTTCCGGAAGTGGAGTATAAAAGGCCGAATCCGCTCGTCTTCTGCACACCTGTGCGGCTGCGCTTGCTTGAAGATGTCGTGGCGTCTCTTCCGCGTCTTCTGAAGAATTGGGTTGGCGTTAAGAACGAGTTTCCTGTCGGCCTGCTTGTGAAGCTCGGATTGTTTGAGTGACTGGACAACCTCTGGGCACACTCCAGTCCTTCTGTTCCAGATACGTGTTTCAGGTTCAAGACTACCTTCGGTGGCAGGGGCTTATTTAAATCCGGACTTCGTCCCTGATGTGGGTTCTCGAACATCGACTTTCTCTCGTCAACGAATATATTTGCTTGCTGTTCCTTGTTGCTGTCACAGACTCTCCATGATATTTGGGCAATAGAAGTGGGCTGAATGAGTACTTTGAAATTATCCACGTGACCAATCAGATGAAATGACTGTCAAAGCACCTGTTGCTCTATTGAGAATCATGAGTGGACTGCTTAAAAGAAACGAATAGCAATCACGTGACGACCATTATAGGAAATTGACTCGTAGCACCCATTTTTGGAATTCGATGAATTGCTGTAGTCTACTGTTTCTCGCTTTTGGGATTTTCAAAAAGGATAGATGTCAACGAGCTTTTACCCCAGTACATAAGGTCAGACTTATACATAAATAGTTAATGTTTTCAACTCAAACATGTGAGACCTTTAAACTAGCCAAGATTTATGATACAGAAGTAGTACACATACTCCAGTTTATATCTTATGCCAAGTCTACTTTTACGTCGGAAACCTAGTCTCTATTACTTTTCATGCGGTTATCTGGACTTGAGGAGAAAAAACCGAGAAAAAATTGAATTACTCAAAATATTATATATTGTTTAAATTAGGTACACATCGTTGTTCTGTATTTTTATGCTCATGCTAAGAAAACATGTTTCAAAATCGTGGGGTTCAGGGAGAATGTACAATGCCTTAACGACAAATAGAGATTCTCATTCTGAATTCTTATCCGTCCAACCAAAAGTGCCCATATTGGCAAGGACTTTGTGGCTTTCTTACAGAAAATTGATCACTCAAGTCCACAATGCAAACCCTGTTCCAATGTGTTTTCGCCCCGCGATCCACAAGTTGGATCTAACTTTCTTCAACCAGACTTAGGATAGAAGCAACCGGGCAAGAATGAGGTTCAAATTTGGACGCCGATGCAATGACAATGGAGCCCGATCCATTTGACCTAGGAATAGAGATCTTGCGAGATACTTTCAGTTTCAGCCCCTCTTTTGCGCATATTGGCCAAAAAAACTCTTCAGGCCAGATCACCCTTCCACCAGATGCAATTCACTAATTAGGTTGCAAAAGTATCAGTCATGACGACGTTGACGGGAAATCAAAAGTGATTTCGGTCGACACATCCGGCCGTCCCCATATAGTGAATACGTATCAAGATTGAATGCAAAATTACACGCATTGATTCACCAAAGTGAATGCACAAAATATATGATATTTACTGTTATATCTAAAGTATGAGGTAAATGTGGGTACTAAGGGGATCCCATCAATACACACTCTGACCATGATAAACAAATGAAAAAATTTAGGGAATATTATTTATCATAAATAAAACACCTATGATAAAAAGGAAATTTTATATTGTTGGCATGTAAGACGTGCTTATCAAATTAAAAACTTTATTTCGTTATTTGATTTTCAAAATTAAAATTTAAAATAAAATTAGTGAGTGATTTTTATAAAAATATAAATATACTGATTTAATAATGAAATTATTTTAATTAGAAATAATTATAAATTTATTTTTTGATATATATACGTAAGATTTTTTTTAAAAATTAGAAATTTTATATATATGTATATATATAGAACTAAAATAGATTTTATGTATTTCAATAGATAAAAATTAAAGGAAAAAAATTTAGAAAATTTACCTGAAATTTTTTTTTTCTATTATAGATGATTTATGCATTCAAGAGTGTATCAATGTCTTTAAATTATGATTTAAACTTTTATTAACACAGAACATGATTTAAATTGTGAAATATCTGTTGTAAGGAACAATGCTACAGATTTTCAATCTTAATTTCGAAATAGAAATATCTCAGTAAAAAAATTATGAAAGTTTCTTATTGAATAAACACTTTATGAATAGATATTATTTACTAAAACAAATAAATTTAAAATATTCATCCCAAGCAATTGGGATAAAAAACTTCTGCATGGAATAAAATAAACTTGATATATCAACTGTATTTTATTGAATATTAATTGCCAACAGACGATCAAGATTATCATAGATTTAACAATCCAAAATCTGGTAAGATGTACTTTCTATTATAAAATCTACATAAAATTTCTTTAATCTAAATAGAATTTTTTAATAAAAATTATCAAATACTTGAAACTTAAAAATTTAGGGAGCAACTAGTTATCCCTTAGGTATGCTAATTATCTCTCATCCAACAAGTTTAACTTTTCTATGACTGTTATCACAAACACCTTCAGCTTTGACTATTGCTTTATGCGGCGGAGGCGGAGAAAAACTACATGTGGCGCTCAGCAAGATTAAACTGTTTTAAACGAATTTGACGTTGCCCTAGCAACTTTTGTCATGGATCAAAAATTTACGTAAGTAACCGCATTACACACGTTGATTCCAGACGCGGCTATTCTCTGGCATATGAGCAAAATCATACTTGCAAAACAGAAAGGTGAGGGATAATTAGCATAAACCGAAGGATAACTAGTAGCTCCCAAAATTTATAGTAAAATGGTTTTAATATCTTCAATTTAAGAATTAAAAATTTATTAATTTAATATTTATTATTATTATCATTTAAATATATAATGGATTGATAATTTGACCTTAACAGAGTTAAATTTTATACGCAAGAGAGAAATTTCAATCTTAAGTAAAAACACTATACAAATCCAATTATGATGCAAAATACTACAATATTTTTCACATTCTTTAAATCAACTCTTTGCTGGATATGTATCATGATTAGATGACAAAAACATATTTTGTAAATTTTTTTTAACATGAAGATTTTGAAGATTTTTTTTTAAATTATTTGATTATTTTTTTATTTCAAATTTTTCTTCATCATGTCATTTTTCCCTCTTGCACATATTGTCTATACATTACAATGTCTTTATTCTAGTTATTTAAAATTAAGTTATCATTTATATCAAATTCATATGAAAGTACATAAGTGTAGTTTGATAATTAAATTAAAGTTAGGATTTAAAAAAGAAATAACTTAATAAATTTTATTCGAGTAGACATATATTATCTTAAAAAAAATCCACTATAACATTCATCAATTGAAATCTACTAATTCTAAGATGTTCAACATCTTTTGAATCTGTTTTTTCATGAGTTTGAGTATTTTTTAACTGCTAAACTTCCTCTACTTTCTATTTTTTCAAGATTGTATGATGAGTATATTGGTTTCATCATGCATGGCTATTTTTTGCTTTCATAAGTAACAATGTTTATAAGCATTAATTAATCTACATGTCTTGATCATTTCATATGCATGTCCGTCATTCAATCTATGAATGTGATATAGTATAGATGCTACAAGTCTCTCTTTGAATCTTTGCTTACTGAAAGTAAAATAAAGTAGGAGTTGCTAGCCATGATGCTCTTAAATATGTAGTCTTTGTTGTCGTGGAAGAAGATTGACAAATCACATATCTTGCAATCAAATCAAGATATGACAAATTATACTTGGTTTGTGAGTGATTTAATATAACTTCTAGATTAGTGATGAGTAACCATAGTTGTATCAAATGAAGCAACAACAACCAAACTATGCAAATATAAATTATGCTTCGAGATCATCTCCTTGTTGCTCTAAAATTCAAATTACATAGAGATATAGATCATGAATGAGATATGAAATAATTTTGTTCTTTATATCCAATACTTTAACTAGGTTATGTGCATCAGTTATTTTATATACAGCAATGCTTAGTGCAATTCTTGTATGTTGTCTAGCATATAAACTATTATAAGTGGATGGTTTTATAATGTTAGTTAGATTGTGCTTATTTGCCATTATAATACTGTGGGGAAGAGTTATCCTCCTATGACTTCATGGGATGCATAATTTTGCCTTCAGTTGTAGATCCAAAGTTATAGCCAAAAGTGAAATCAGGTGAGATAGTCACTGTACAGTGAGGCATGTCAAATAGTGCAGTATGTTTAGTTTTGAAACATGTATCACCGTATTCAGGCATGGGACAGCCGGGCAGTTAGACCCTAGGAAGGGCGAAAGCAATGCTGCGAATATCCTGGTGTCGTGAGCAGTAGGAGAAATACTTTTAATCACACATGTGTGAAATTGCGAATTGACAATAAGTGATTTGAGTCTTCACCATTATTACCACCCAAAAACAATGAATTTTTCAGCGGCATGAAGTTGATGGGTCAACCCACATGCACCAAACAGAAGAATCAAGCACCCAGTCATGTGGATGAATATATCAACAAACAGAAGTGTTGCAATGCCTGAATCTTGGCGACTGAAACATGGAGCCAATATACTCCATCACTGATTTCCACACAAAAAAATTGTTTACATTCTTTCTCGTCGCACGAGACCAAATTCCAGCCCATGGCAAGCCTTCGAGTAAAATAAAGAAGGCTACAGAAAAGAGGACATTTTCCCTAACCTCGGCCACTAAGCACAAACTTCCATGCCAGGAGAAACATGTGAAAGTCCAAAGACTAAAAATATTTTTGACTATCCGTTCAAGAATATCTGAAGATAATTTTCCTTTAGAATGTACAATGGATATCATGATGATGTGAAGAAGTGAAAAAATAGATCTACTGAAAACGAATGAAATTATATTTTGGGGCCACTTGCGCCACTTGGTTTGGTGTAGGAAGGACAGAAGCAGGGGAGGGAGTGCAGGTTTCTTCATTTTTCTTATCGGAAAACAGAAAAAATTGAAACAACAAATGACCTTGCCAGTACTTCTGTATATGAATTGCAGTATCTCCACATGTTACCAGTTCATAGTAAGATGAGCGTAAGAGACCCAAAATTCGAATTGACCAGGATTATGCTCAATGCTAGGTCATATCCTGGCAGGATATGACCTAGCATTGAGCAATCGGAAGTAGATTTCCGGTCTATTCTACATCTCCGTACCTTGGAGATTACGAAAGAACATACGATCCAGTGGGGCACTGTGTTCACTAGATAATGAGCAAATACTAGTTTCACGACAATAATTCTTTCACAACTTAAAACGTGGTTTCTTAAAAAGCTTGGCACCGATAGCTGCGGACAGTGGAACAAAAGCATGGTGTTGACAGCATCAACTGTTCTCTTCGGCTTCCAGTCAAACGCCTTCTAGGTCTTTCTGTTGCAACTACCAATCATGCTATGACATAAGAGGCCTGGCAGTACAAGACGATTGCATTTCTGTATTAAAATCTCAGAGAGTTTACCGTAACAGATGCTGCTGGTTCAAAGCACAACGAGCACAGATAAAGTAACGATATCAAGAGGTGATGTCAGCTGGACAGAACAGGCATACAAAACTATCTGCAATTCATTGAGGTTCGAAAAGGCAGAGAGGAACATGGTCAATCGCGCAAGTTGGGTACGGCAGTTGGCTCGTAGAAATTGTTCTTGACTCGATCAATGTCATTTTTAAGACGGCATATGCCGTGCTGCTCCCTTTCAGCAGGTTGCATACGTACTTGGGAAGTTTGGAATGCAGATACGGCAAAAGTGATTGGTCATACGAAGGGCATGCGCGTTTCGTCTGCACACGACGTGGATCGCTGAAAGTTTCCAACGTCAATGAAGCGAATGAGCCGTTGGATTCTTGCATGGCGGGATCTTTTATCGACAGCGGGACTTCGACATCCAAGAAACTGTCATCAACTTGCCCTATCCCTCTTTTCTTTTTGTTTTATCTAGACTGGATAGTAACTTGTGGCTGGAAATCGGAGAGCAAATTGGATTGGGATTGAAGTCGAGGACCGGAGACATGTGTTTGACAAAACATGGGGTCCTTGCATCAATGAAAATAACCTATGTGCTTGGAGTAAAAGCCCATGGCAGCAAGGGGATGCCACTAATGTTTATTAAAGGCAATGATTCATGTTTTTTTTCATTTAAAAAACATTATCTATGGATGATTTATCAAGTCAAAATATGTATTAACAAGTAATCACTAATTTCATGAATGGAGCTAACTATTCCGCGAATTATAGAGTATCTTAAATAAAGCTAACAGGAAGGTATTGTTGCAAAGCTCATATTTTGAATGATGTGAATTCCTACATGATAAACCAAAAAATCAGTTCACCAACTATTCCTGGCGGGCTGACTGCTTACTTTCCAGCTGGTGATATCAAAACTTATATGTCATTTAAATATAAATCTATCTCTTTTGATTGAGACTTGAAAAAAATTAAGCAAATGGAGCTAAAGGGAGAGCCGGGGGATGACGCCCCCCCTCCCCCAAGCAAACACTATTCCTGAAAATGCAAGACTGGAAAAACACACTTGCGCAACAATTATGAAGCCAACGTCACCTCAAAGTTCTTTCTCTCCAAGCCGTGACAAGAAATAACCAGGCCCGTGGATTTGCAACTCATCAAGTTGAAAATGGTAAATCACACGGGCTTCATTTTGTTTCTCTCATCATCTGTTCAAATTGTATGTTTAATTCAAGATACTCATACGGATATGCTTCATATGAGCACTTCTTTCCTCTCTATATCAGTTCGAACTGTTTGTTTGATTCAAGATACTCATACTTGCAAGTTTCATGGGAGCACGAAAAACATTTGGAGAAGCATTCAAATCATTTTCCAGAATCTGTGAATACTAGGAATTTTTCTTCTCTGACAAGTCGGTCATAGCGGCAATTAACATCCTACCGGCTAAAGACTCTAATTGTCCATAGAATTGCTCCACGAACTAACTGTTTGTCTTCGAGGTAACCTGCGCGAGATAGAGAAAAACAAAGACAAATGTACACAGAAGTAATAAATAATATCATTTGTCTTCTTGATTCTCCGAGGCTTTATCTATTTTCTAATTGATTTGGATGCTTTTTTTTGTGTATTTTTTTTCACATTCCATTGATACATTGTATGTTTGTTAAAAATGTTGACGCTTCATCAATTTTGCTATCTTTTATGAACTGTAAGTTTCATGAAGATCAAAACGCAAAACTTTATAAATACACATGAAAGTCGGATAAGTCTGAATGTTTTGTGGTTGGAGAAATCAGACTTTTTTTTTTTTTTTTGGGATTGTTTCAAGGTTAGAAAAGCCTAAAGCTTGTGTTTTCTGTTTTTTATTGGAGAAGTCGAGTTAGTATGTATTAGTGATGTTAACAGATTATGCATCGGAGCGTCAATGTACATAGTATTTGTTTGTGGCCAGGTTGAAGCGCAATCCGGGTCTGATATTATTTGAATCAAGTCGACTACTAAGGTGTCTCATCTTAAAACTCTATGCATTACAACAATTTGGAAGAAGTCCACCCGGAATAAAGGGTTTACCCTACACATCTCATAGTGGACTTCCATCCCCTACGAATGTTGGAAAATCTTCAGAAAGGGCGAAACTATACGTACTGTACATTCTGGAGTTATCCAAAAGTGTGAATACGGTGACCGTCCAGCGTCGATGTTTCTCGTCTACAGCCCGGAGGTGAAAAGCGAGCTCACCTCAGCTTGACAGGTTGTGCAGTTTAGTGGGCGCCTATAAGGACTGTCCTCCAGGAAGGGGCAGATTGTAAAGCGCTGATAATAAAGTCAGTGTGGAAGCTCGGACGAAAAAGTCCAGAATAACTTGCTATACAAGGGCCGTCCTGAAGAAAGGCTAGAGTACCATCGAGTAAAGAAGACCTGGAAAGTCCTTCTACAGAAGATGATCACGGGTCGAGCTTAGAGGTAGGTCCACAGGTCCTGACTGTTCGGCCGAAGACGAGGAAGCCCAAGTACAGAAATGACAAAAAGCTTTTTCGCTCTTTAATTCCTTCAATGAGAAGTCCACAGACTTTGACTGACTGCCTACGAAGGAAAGGAAGGAGGGAGTGGACCCTCAAGTACGGGGAATACAGTAGACGTGTTTCCACGAGATGTATCACCGGATGCTGATGCAGTTTCAAGTAAGGTACAATGCTCGAATTTATTTACGCTGAGATTTCTAGGAGCCTAGGTTTCCCGAAGTTCTAATCGTAATTACTTATCATCATCGCTATCGTCTTTTGCGGATCAGGCACCCAAATTCCTTCCACGATTCCTGCGGTGATGCGGTCCGAGTCCGAGGCAAGCATCGACAGTCGGGAAACAAATGTAATCTTAGTAGCTGCACTTTTACGTTACGCTCTATCGAAAAGAATATACTGAACGAGGTGATGATCGTTTTCACGTGTCAGATGAAGACAGGCAAACTGGACAGGAAGGTCTTGAAGAACCGCCCGAAAGGATGGATGGTCGGAAGAAAGCACGGACCGGGACGGAGCGCTCTGGAAGGCCGGAAGCTAAAGCTAAGAACGGATTGGGGACGAGGATGAAAAGAGCGGGTGTGGAGGCGATGGCAAGGAGTGACGATCACGGAGTGACTGGTTGCCCCGGGCGATAGTGGAGCCGGGGAGTGCAGAAGATTGTGAATCTGTGCGTTTAGGTGGTTGCTGGATTGGCTTTCTCGGTGTCGTATCGATGTTTTCGGGCTGTGTACAGATGGGGCGTTTTGTTGTGTTTCAGGAGGGGATCGGTCGTCAGGGGAGGACTAGAACTTCTAGTCCTCCTTCTGCTGCTGCTTCTAGTCTAGAAGCAGCAGCAGAAGCGGCAGGAGGTCGAACTCATGTCTACTTGGGCTGTGACCAAAAATCAGTGGGGAAGGCAAGGGATGAATGGGATTCGTGCCTGAAGTAGTCTATTTTGCTTAAGAAGGCATCCATCAGCTTTGGCTACCTCAAATATCGGAGCTTTTTCCAACGACTGGTTCCCTCAAGCGTGCTCGTGATTCGAATGCGATTGCAAGAACTGGAGACTGAATCTTCGTCCATTGCTGTTGAGATTCCTGCTGACGGGGAGTTTTTCTCGTGCAACACCTCTTTTAGTTCAAGGGAGTGATATGATGGGCACTTGATAGTTGATTTGTTAAAAGGAGTGATAGAGGAAGCGACAAAGAAACTAAACAGGGAGAGGTGTTGTGTTTGACTAAGGCACGACATTAGGAGTTGGGCATTGGCTGAGAATGCAGGCGGATGTATGCAGACAAGAATCGGCTTGGTAGCGTCTGTGGTGAGTGATACTTCTGACAAGATGGACGCAACAGCACTCCTCCCCACCTCTGTGCTGCGCAACCTCTCCGACAAGTTGTACGAGAAGCGCAAAAATGCTGCCCTGGAGGTAAGTTTTAATGTTTCTAGGCTTCAATGGTTTCACCATAATCGACCTTCTTTGATTTTTTCGGCATGAAAGGGGTTCATTTCCGGCTTGTTTCCGTCTTCTACATGTTTTAGATTTAGCAATGAAAAGCTACTTTTCTGCCCACAATTCAAGTAATTTTCAACTTGAAAATTGGGAGAGTTGTCGAGTTTTAGGTGGAAGTCGAGATTGAGTGCATCACGAAGAAGTGTATCGATGAATTTTGAAAATACGTGCCGAAGAGCTTTTTGCAAAACAGCTCAGTCAAGAAGAACACGTTATTACACATAGAATAGTACATGATCCCACGACATCTTCGTCTTTGATGGTCAAAAGTTGGCTAAACTGGGTCAGTTGTAGACTTTACAGCATCAATTGATAATGTAAGTCGGACTAGAGAACGGGCAGGAACGGGCAGTCTGGAGTGTTTATGTAATGAAGTCGTCCTTTGATCTATAACTTGCACATATGAAGTTTTCACTCCATGAGCGTTTAAACCTTGACGCTCTATTGGACAAACTTGGACCTGTGAAATTCCACTTGTGTGAGCTATATTCTCCTCGACTACTCATCTCTTATTTGTACTTACTTGTAGGTGGAAGGGGTTGTCAAACAACTTACTGCTTCTGGGGAACACGAAAAGATATCTGGTGTTATCCAAGTTCTCACAAATGACTTTGCGATGTCTCCACAAGCTAATCATCGAAAGGTTAGTGCTGCTCAACTTTAGACTGGGTATTATATTTGTGTTATCTCGTTATGTGGGTGCCGAGTCAATAAATCTTCTGTATCGCAGCTCTCTCTCTGACTCTTCAGGTCGTGGTTGCTTAATTATCAGGGCGGACTTATCGGTCTGGCGGCAGCTACTGTAGGCTTGGCGAATGACGCTAGTCAGCATCTTGATGTAAGATACAACCGGTTTGTTTGGTCGCTGTCTAGTTTGTGAGATGCCACAAGTTCCTGAATGTTCGCTTGGTCTGGAAAGCTCATAGGTTACTTCATATCCATCCTATGCTTGGGATGGAGGGGCGCAACGCTGTGGGAACTTTCTTTTCCACTGAATGGGTCTGATGCTCTTTGGTTTGTCTCCGCAGAGGATCGTGCCACCTGTTCTTAATTCTTCTACAGATGAGGATAGTAGGGTTCGGTTTTATGCGTGTGAAGCCCTATATAACATTGCAAAGGTGCTCAATCGACTTAAGTCCGCAATTTTCTTGAACTTTTCCCCGAATGCAAAAGATACCAATCTAGATGTATTCATCTTTTTTTCAAGATCAGAGACTGATCGAAAGCTTTTGTTGTGCAGGTTTCTCGGGGTGACTTTATAGTCTTTTTCAATGATATATTCGATGCTTTGTGCAAACTTTCAGCAGATTCTGACCCTAATGTGCAAAGTGCTGCACATCTTTTGGACCGGCTCGTCAAGGTAAATGATTTGCATCTTGTATGATACCCATCAAATGTTTCAAAATCCCAGAAATTGAATTATCTTCCCTTCTGCAAAGGTTTTTCTGTTATGAGGGACAACGGTGACCTTTTTAAGAGTCTATGATGGGTGTAATATCTTGCTGTCTAAGCTTGACTGACTGGTCTTTCGTGGGTTGTAACTTGCAGGACATTGTTACGGAGAGTGACCAATTCAGGTTCTACGGGCCACCGATTCTAAATTTCTCTTCACTTAGTGGAACTCACTCTTAGATGTTTCTTAACTGGACCCCAGTTTTAAATATCGCATCGCTCCCAATCTTTATTCTCTTCCGGTGATTCGTGTCGTTTTCCAAAAAGAGTTCAATCTCAGTTCGGTGACTGCTGTTCGTTTTTGTCGGTAATAAACAACAGTGTCTAGTATTAATAAAAATCGACCAACCGAGTCCTCGTAGATTTGTATGTTTCTGAAGTTGGGCAAAAGATATGCGGTTAGATTCATGTTCAAGCCAAGCTTTGTGGTCCTGGCTTGCATACTCGACCCATTCTGAGACTTAGTGTTGTCTTTGCAGTATTGAGGAGTTTATTCCGTTACTGAGGGAGCGGATGAATGTGCTGAATCCGTTTGTACGGCAGTTTTTGGTGGGATGGATCACGGTGCTCGATAGCGTGCCAGAGATCGATATGCTCAGCTTTCTCCCAGATTTTCCGGATGATGAAAAGTCTCTATTTGAATCTTTGGTTATTGAAAGTAAAATGACGTAGGAGTTGCTAGCCATGATGGTCGGAAATATGTAGTCTTTGTTGTCGTAGAAGAAGATTGACAAATCACATATCTTGCAATCAAATCAAGATATGACAAAATATACTTGGTTTGTGAGTGATTTATTATCATTTCTAGATTAATGATGAGTAACCATAGTTGTATCAAGTGACAAAGTGAAGCAACAACAACCAAAGTATGCAAATATAAATTATGCATCGAGGTCACCTCCTTGTTGCTCTAAGAAGTAAATTTCATAGAGATGTAGATCATGAATTAGATATAAAATTATTTTTTTCTGTATATTCAATAATTTAACTAGGTTATGTGCATCAGTTATTTTACATACAACAATGGTTCGTGCATTTCTTGTATGTTGACTATGTTGTGCGACTCGGTATCACCATGCTCGTGAACATGCTCTATTCATACATACATGTATAAAGAATAAGAGTGTCAGACACAAAGGTATCACAATTAGCTCTTTAGTTGACGGTCAGATTCTTAGTGCCCGGAAATCAGATTCCTCTGATTTCCGGGCACCACTATCTACAATGTCTATCTAACAGTAGGTAAGGTGCTATCTTGTCCCGTCATTAGTCGTCTATCTGCAATTCATAACATGTGAAAATCAAGTTATCTATATTTTGAAGTACATCCAGAATAAACCCATCGTATAATAAAAGCGACGTCGATAGGTGGAGTCAAACACGACTTGTGTCATCTTCTAGAACATCTATCACACATCAACATATGGATAATCCAGAGTACTATCCACGTTTGGGAGGTGGCATGGCGCCCAGTTGCGCACATTATATTTTCAAACGACACCGTCATGACACTCCAACATGAGAAATCTAGAAAGTAACACATCTAGTACTCGCAAAATAGTGCGTCCTACCGTCACTTCCAATGTAATCGGTGCAGTCTGTTGTAAATAGACGTAGTCTTTCACAGGGAACTTACGAATCGATAGTCGATAACCTCCTCCCCGGATGGTTGCATACCACAACGTATTCCTATGCTGAGCAATCGCAAGAATCTCAATTGATCCAATCATAACTCTCCAAAAGAGCGCTGCACGTTGAGAACACACTCTCACCCACATGTTTGGCTCATCCAGGTTCACCACCTCACGAGTAATTGTTATTGGCAAGTTTGGATATCGACTGTACAATAAAAAATATGATGAGAACGAAACCAAAGACGCTTGACAATTGAATCGATATCCCATAACCAACCATGATAACTGAATACACACTAACCTTGATAATGTCACACTTGTTAATAAAACACCTGGATATTATCACATAAAAGTTCAAAACCGATTTCCCTAGTGTAAAGCTCCCTCTTTACTATCACTGTCATCCTTGATAATGTCACTATTTTTTTCCAAAATTGCTAGTGTAAGTGTGATAATATCAAATATGAATGGATTATATGTGACAGTTGTACTTGTAGTATCATGAAACTCCCTTATGATACAGCAAATGAAATGCTACTTGCTTGGATGTGGATGAGGGGCTCGAGCTGCAAGGAAGATGATTTCGCGATCGGCTACCTGTGGACCGAGGGTTCGAGCTATGAGGAAGATAAATTTGCGATGAGGGAGCGCAGCCCACGGCAGAGCTCGGAAGCGCTGAGTCTATGCAACCTGCAATCAGATAAGCAATTTAGGTATGTTAATCTTTTATGTTGTGATGGTCATTGTGTGGCTGGACTTGCAGTCATTAGTATCGTTCCAACTGTAGACCTTGTGTGGCTCGGATGCCCACTTCTTAAGTGATCAAAGTTGTTGCTTACTTATGCGATTGGCTAGGCACTACAAGTGTTCTACAATTTTTACGCACTTCTCCTAAACTGCAGTTTTACATTATGAGTAGAGAATTCCAACAGGCTTAGTTAGGAGGAGCAAGTTTCAATCGGGGAACGGCTGGGCTGTCAAAGCTAGGACGCCCTAAGAGAGCAGAAGGCATTACAATATGGTGCACCAAAGTGATTAAGTACCCTGTCAAGGAAAGCATACGCTACTCCATCATTCGCATTGTCAGGTAATGCCACCAACTCAATCCACTTGGAGAATTGCTACTCCATCACCAACACATACCGATGATGTCGTACAGTCAAAGGTAGTGGTCCGGCAAAGTCCAAACTCCAACGGTAACCCAATCCCATGATAGGCTGGGCTACCAAAGCTAGGACGCCCTAAGAGAGCAGAAGACATTACAGTATCTTATGTGGCTCCAGTTTAGAAGATTTAAATGTTCAGTCCGCCTAATGGCATTTCTTCCTTTTTTGCCTTTACTGGCTTGCTCGATTCTCGCTGGCCAATATTGACATTCTTGAAACGTTTGTCACTATAACGATTTTTTGTAATCCTCAAAGGCTTGTTGCCTTATATAGATTCGACCATTAAACTGATTCAATGACAATAGTGCATAAAAATCGACAAGCAACGGCCGATCGAAAATACGTAGGTTTGCATGTCCATCTCTTGGTGTGATTAGATATGTAGACAATCCGGGTGACAGTCTTGCGCACTCACTATTTGTGGTTGTTTGAATATTTTCATTTTTAATTTCATTTTTTATATTATAGTTTTATTTTGAGTTTTTACCTATTTTTTTGATAGTATCACATTATGCACAAAATGTGACATTATCAAAAATGTCACACCTTGTTTATATCACACTTTTCCGTGAAACGGAGGGTGTGATATTATCAAGGTTATGGTGTATACCAGTCCTCAAAATGCCCCTTCTGTAGGCTATACTTGCGCAACGCTCTCTTCATCATTTGTATAACAGGCTCAGCCACACAATCCGCCTCTGGATTAATCTCGAGACGTGGTCCGGTGATCAATCAGCGTCTTGTCACACAACACCTAAAACTCTGTCCCCTGATCCGTCAACACCACAACTGGTGCACCAAAGTGACTAAGTACCCTGTCATGGAAAGCATACGCTATTCCCTCACTCGCATTGTCAGGTAATGCTACCAACTCAATCCACTTGGAGAATTGCTACACCATAAGAATTGCAACGCCTTCTGGTATCCTTGCACAGCTGATTGCGGCAACAATGAAGAAAAACGCTGCATCAATTGTGCAATGTGTTGGAAAGAAACTTGACGTGCAGTCTCATCCTTCTCCACATACAAGTATCTACGTACGAGAATACATGACTGAAACACTACAACCAAACCACTACTGATCCCACAAAAAAGATCCAACAAGCAAACACCCTCTGGGGAATACTCCCATACAATCGGTGTAATGATCAATGAGGATAGCGTACCAGGATCATCAACTGGCTGATCCTCTGAAGTCCTCTCTGCCTCTGTTGGTAAAGAGGCCTAACTTCAAGCCTTCTTCACCAACCTATCAGCCTCATGCTGTAATGTGTGGCAAGAACTCCAAAGTGGAACATCCGAGGATGAAGACACCGCCATTGCGAAGCTCATAATCTCCTCCACATCCTTATGAACTCGGGTATCGTCGGTTGACATGTTCCCCTCCAACAGGTCATCAGGCCATGTAAGCACCCCGCTAAAACTTGCAACGGATGCCAAGACCTCAAAAGAAGATCCTAAAGGTCGAGCTCTTGACATAAATCTCACAAGTAGCTCGCTCATACGTCCATCGTCGAACTGCCAACCAGGACGATAGGCAGCGGTCTCTGTCAAGTAGTCCATCCAAAAACCCATTGGATCTAATACAGCTCCATCAACAAGCACATCATATGACTTTGCTGATGTAACCATCACACGAACTTCAAACTATGAGCTATCACGAGCATGATCATGCCTCAACTGCACCGATATGCGCTCTCTGATCATAAAGTAAGACCTATCGCTGGTGCCACCAACTGATGTCTGAATCTAAAATGGACAAGGCTCTAAGTCCGATCTCCAAACTCCCAAACTAATGCATGCTATCTTGCCCAACATCAAGGGCTGTGCAAAACTTTGATTGGGACATACACATGTCTGGTAGAACTCACCAACCGAAATAAACCACTCTGGTTGTTCATCATACACACAACATGGACAATCCTCTCACGATCAACGGTTGGTCGGGCTGGTAAGAACTACATCCTTGCCGCTGCCGCCTGTCAAGTCGACTCATCACTCAATGTAGTCATGCAGGATTGCTCCTCACCAATAGCCTCACATATCTCAGCACTCGTAATAGTGACCCTCCCACGTTCACACAACGTGGCTTCTGAACAAAATACACGGGCCAAATCAACCCCATAGTCTATCGGCTACGTAGCTGAAAATAATGGAGATTTCATCAATGAAGCACCCATCCGCATCACTGCACTAGATGGTGTGACAGTGTCCACAACACATGACGTAGATGTCTCAGTTCTCCCGATAGGATCACTAGGTGGTGCAGGTCTCATGGATGAATGCCTGCCCACCTCCGACAACAAAAACTACTTGGGAAGTACAGCATGTCGTCCACCTTCATCTCTCTGAGAGTCCAACTCCATGGTCGCTCCGCGTGGCTCTGAAGCGCGAGCACCACCTCTGGTCACCGCAACCGATGTCTCCACCTGTGCAGCACTCGCCAAATAGGAAAAATCTTCTACCTCATAAAGTGTGGAAGTGTTCGCCTCAAGACCCGCCAAAGCAGCAAGCCTCTACTCCAACTGCTAAATCCAAGCTGCCATAGCGCTCTCTGTGGCTGAAGTAGCACTCGTTGCGATGCGTACACCTGCACCGGCACCTCTACCACCACGGCCTCGTGAAGCATCACTGCCATAACCTCTACGACCAGATGTCAACTCTGGATGAAGGTCAAAGAACCGATCTCAAGGATGATCTGCTCGACCACAATTGTCACACACAACATGTGATAACTAGCGTCTGGCTTATAAACTTCGTCCTCCGACCTCTTGGGGACAATACCTCCGCAGATTGTCACCTCCTCATTTCCAACATGCTGGTCCCTGCTGTTAACTAGCAAAGGACGGCACTGGTGCACGTGCTATTGTCTCTCTAGCGATCGCTTGCTGTCATGTATGTGCTCCGCGAGCCCCACTACTACCATCATCAATAGATCGAGATTGTGCTGTGCTCTGCGGGACACAAGAGTTAGTAGTCGTGTCTCTAGCAAATGAAGATGTCATCACTCTCTCCTCCACTATGTTAAGCTCAATCTTCTTAGAAAGAGCAAACACATAGGCCAATGTGGGTGACGCATCGCTCAAGAGAGTAGCATCACGAACTCTCCGTTGCAACTCTCTGTTTAGAATCCTATACTTGACAGCTTGTGCCTCGTCACACCGTGAGTAAC